CAATAAAAAATAATGTAAAGAATGGCTGAGATGTGAACCTACATCTCAGCTCTTCAACAAGGGACCACGATTCTAGATAAGTAAATACAGTAGATCATAATTTGCGGGACCAAAATTCACGAAACTTTTAACTAATAAAAAAAAGTTCTAAAATCTCGGTCGGAACTTGAAGCAGCGCAGATCATTTTGATTGGGCGGTAAGCAAAGAGTACATTGAGGTTATGTACTTTCAGCGAAGTATTCACCCAAAACAATTTATTTTGCACGTATTTCTTTGGGAATTAGAAAAAGGTTCCAAGTTTTCGGCATAAATATCACTTTTTTGAAGCCATAGCTTTAAAAACTTAAGCTTTTCTGAAGGTATAGCGTTTTTTTATGTCGGTGAGGGTTGTGCGGACGACCTTGAAAAACAGGATGTTCGGTGGTTTTGTGGCGGTTGTAGTTCTGTATATAAGGAGGTTGGTTGAATAAAATTATTAACTCAGCTAGGTACGCTGTCTACCCCTGTTACTTTCTCTTCAACTGTAAAAAAACTACACCTTCTGCCCCAGTCTCGGCTTAAAATCATGAATTGCATGTAGCTCTGAGAACTACTGCAATTCACTTTGAGTTTGGAGTGATTGCAAAAAGCAGGAGTTTTGTTTTGGATGTCAACCCCGAGATACACGCATGTTTTGGAATCGTTCCCAGGGACACTGAATTTTCAAAAAAATTTCTTGTGTGTGCTTACATAGGAGATATATATATATATATATATAAAACTGAGAAGAAAAAAACCCTTAGTGAAAAACAGCAACAACGGGCGATTTAATCTTCGACGTTTCGGCCGGAGTCCGGCCTTCGTCAGGAAGACTTCCTTCCTGACTTCCTGACGAAGGCCGGACTCCGGCCGAAACGTCGAAGATTAAATCGCCCGTTGTTGCTGTTTTTCACTAAGGGTTTTTTTCTTCTCAGTTTTATACCCACGCCTTCGGCCTCCCGCCACCATGCCCGTTATATATATATATATATATATATATATGGGTGGTTTCATCTCAAATCGTGCAGGCAAAAAGGGTCGAATTTTTAATTTCGATGAAAAAAATATATGTTATGGCGCCGTTTCTAAAACCGCAGTCGACACAAACCGCAAGTTCGTCCGATTTTTTGTTCTCGACTTATGAATTTTGAAAGAGGTCGCGGCGAAAAGCAGTGTTTTTCACACCCGTCGTGGGTCGGATGTTTCGCTTGATCTCCCGCCATGGATTTTCAGTCCACATTATATTAACTTTTTTCAAGCACTCTGTGGACACATTTAAAAGGCTCCAATACAATGAAATAATTTTAGGCCTTTTGCTTTTTTTCTGTAAAAATGTCAAAAACGCCTCCTCGGTCAATTGTTGACCAACTTTGACAATTAATTACTGGCGATCTACTTGGGTTACACCGATATTTTTTATGTCTACGGAGAGCCCAAAACACGCTCTTTATATTTATTATAAAATTTCTTGGCTGTATAATATATTCTTTGCGGTACGTTTACGTTAATATTATGCAAAAACCAAAAAGTACCATTTTTGAAATTGATTTTCTCAAAAAACCCATTTTTTATTTTTTTTATTTTTTGTTCACATGTAGATATGATAGTTGTCTACACGAAAATTAAGCCTAGAAAGTGTATATTTTGTTTGCATGTTTTATATTTAGTCCTCAATATCGGAAAAAGACGTCTTTGTTATGCAAGACCTAAGTCAGACATAGCGACCCATGCGTCTCTATGAATTGTGAAAAAGTTATCTTGAATTTTCTTCTGCATTTTGTAATCAATTAGAAACGGATTTTGTGGTATTGAATATTTATGTATGTTTTGATAAGAGCGGGAACCATGAGATACATATCTAACCAAATCAGCAGGCCTAGTAGACTTTCAATAACCAAAAGGCACAGACATTGTATTGTTTCGATTTATAAACCTTTCAAAGTAAACTAGCACGACTAGCTATTAGCTGTCATATTACTAAGACAAAGAAAGTCACCACATCGTCGATATATTATATACAATTCTTTACGAAACCAAACACTGGGGCTTGTTTATCGCACATCGCACAGGTCACCAGGGAATGTCCTTTCACTTCCGTAATACACAAAAGTGGTGACACAGAAACGGTCCATAACACACAGACAGTGTGTCACGGAGAGGGGTAGGAAATAAAAATAAATAAATAGGAATTAAATTGCCCAACTCCGATCTTAACGAAAATTGCGTTAAACAAAAAATGAAGTATTTAGGTTCGAGCGGTGGCAAGGCGATAGGTCCACGCCTGGTGGAGAGTCAGACAAAGAAGTCGACGGCACGTAAAGGTAAAACAAAAACAAAAAAATCAATAATTTAATAAAGACTGGAAAACTCAGCCGCACATGGCAAGAACAAAAACCAACTCCCCCGGGCATTCCCTAAACGGGACGCAACCAAATGCGTGCGAACACGCTCCCTACATCACCGCCAGGCCGCTACGCCATGACGAAATAAACCCAACAACTGAACAGTGCTAACAAACAGTTAGTAAGAAAACATTGAAAAAAAAAAAAAACGTTTAGAAAGAACCGCACCCGAGAAACAAAGTTCAGCGGGGCGAAGAAACACACACGAGTCGGCCCCACGACATTGAAGTCTGGCAGGATGACGGCGTCCAGATGATGCTCGAATCTGTTTCTCCCTCTATTACGCACATCCACGACGGCTGTGCGGAACTGTAGCTGTACGAAAGAATGTGACGAATAGATTCGAGCAGGCGATGCGCGAGAAGGTAACCGAGACTATGCTTCAAGCTTCATATCGGGAGAGGAGCTTTCGAGGTAGTTTCTGCAGTTACTCAAACTTTCTCTTTCCCCTTCCCTTTTTTAAAAAAACACGTCAGCCGGCGCTAACGTTTCATCTTGGGAGAAGCCCACTCTTCACAAACGGTTATAGTTGACAAGGAGGCTGACTTCGACCCAACTAGTCTCCAGGCAGAATACAAACACAGGTATATTTACCAACACGCTCGTTTTAATGTCTGTCTCCGGGCTTTGCTGTTTCCAAAAGAGATAACCCTTTATAAGGACACAGCGAGCGGGTTGGTGGGGATAATTAAACTTAAACACTCCCTTCTCGTTTTCTTCCTCAAGTTTAATAGATAACCCTTCGGTGCTATCGGATCTCCCCGGAGAGAGAGAGAGCGCACGGCCGTTTCAAGGTAAGGATAGGGCGCTCGAAGCTAGGGCAAACAGGCGGTATCGTTTCACGCATGCACGGATGGCTGGTTTCAAATTTCCCCACATCCCTAACGAAACCGGCCCATCTTCGTGTGTGCGTCTGCGGGATTTCTGTCCCGCGCCGCCGGTTTTAGCGCGCACGCGGCGTTGTTTTGGCTGGCAGAACAGTTGTTAACCGTCGACATTGTAAGGCCGTGGTGTCCTCATCCTTTCAGGCAACGATTCCTTTGCTTTCCCTTGTGCAATACTCTGACTGACTCCTCCTGGGTGGCTGTCACTGTTCGCCGCGTCAACGACACAATCGTACCATTTCACTCCTCGTGACACAGGGTGCGCTGCTCGCTTTCCTCTCACGGGCCGTCCCATCTAACACAACGAGCGCGAAAGGTCGTGGTCATCTGCTGGCTCCGAAAGGGCGGGACGCTCATGCAGGCCAATTAGGGCCCTGAATCAATAAGACGTCTGTCAACTGCTACACGTTAAAAATTTATGACACCTGCTGGTCTGTTAAGAAGTGTTGCTTTCTCTTTTTGGAACTCCTCCGATGTAGCTTGCCGCCTTTATTCGAATTTAAATAATCAATAAATATATCAGGGTGGAAATACTGTATTTCATTTTGATGTGGAAACGTTGAAAAAAAAGAAAAAAACTATTTCCAAGCTTGTGAAGACGCGCAATTCGCAAGTCCATTTCGAGCCGTAAAAACACGTTTTTGTACGATATTGATGCTTAAATGTAGAACATACAAACAAAATATACACTTTCTAGGCTTGATTTTCGTGTAGACAACTATCATATCTACATTTGAACAAAAAATAAAAAAAATAAAAAATGGGTTTTTTGAGAAAATCAATTTCAAAAATGGCACTTTTTGGTTTTTGCATAATATTAACGTAAACGTACCGCAAAGGATATTTTATACAACCAAGGCATTTTATAATAAATATAAAGAGCGTGTTTTGGGCTCTCCGTGGAGATAAAAAATATCGGTGTAACCCAACTAGATCGCCAGTAATTAATTGTCAAAGTTCGTCAACAATTGACCGAGGAGGCGTTTTTGACATTTTTACAGAAAAAAAGCAAAAGGCCTAAAATTATTTCATGGTATTGGAGCCTTTTAAATATGTCCACAGAGTGCTTGAAAAAAGTTAATATAATGTGGACTGAAAATCCATGGCGGGAGATCAAGCGAAACATCCGACCCACGACGGGTGTGAAAAACACTGCTTTTCGCCGCGGCCTCTTTAAAAATTCATAAGTCGAGAAGAAAAAATCCGACGAACTTGCGGTTTGTGTCGACTGCGGTTTTAGAAACGGCGCCATAACATATATTTTTTCATCGAAATTAAAAATTCGACCCTTTTTGCCTGCACGATTTGAGATGAAACCACCCATATATATATATATATATATATCGCTAAATCCCCCCTCCCCCCCCCCCCCAAAAAAAAAAAAAAGAAAAAAGTTAGTGTAATGGTTACGTTGCAAGACAGATTTTGAGTTAGGAGTGATCCTGAAACATGCTTTAATTTTGAGTTGCTGACCCTGAATTAGAAACACAAGTTTCGGAATGGCAGAAATGAGTCTCGCTTGATAAATATTAAGCTAAAATGTTTTTTTTATCAAGTTAATTTGTATGTCATATGCATCCTATCCAGGCAAACTAGAAATATTTTTTTTTTTGGGGGGGGGGGGGGGGTCTTAATGACCCCTTTAAAAACAAAATTTTTTTCCTGTGAACAATGGCCTTGTTCCCACCATTGCAGGTTACCCCGACGCAGGGCCAAGCGTGGCCTTATCCGAAGGAAATTCAAACCGGGCTCGAGGTCTTTCTTATAGACCCCAAGAGCTTCCAGCTGGTCCTGCGAACCCCCCAGGGGGCCCCGTGTGAACTGGCGTCGAGCGCCCTCCGCCGATACAACCCGTCCCTCCTCTTCGGCGGCTGCACCACGAGAAGTGGCGTCCACAGCCGCTGTGCCCCAAAAGGCAGACGGGCCGAGGCCTCCTCGTCGTCCGTGATCGGGCAGCTGCTACAGCTTGACGTCTTCCTGACTGGGCAGTGCGAGGGCATGCCCCACTTCAGCATGGACGAGAGTTGTGAGTCATTAGCTCTCTTTCGACAAGGACAATGATATAACCTTCTGTTTCCACTAAAATCTATGGTTTTATGAACCTGTAAGGTTAACATCCGTCTGCTGTTTGTGCCCCCTTCTAATAGTGTCTGCGCTCCCGTGCTTTCGTTTGCAACTACTTCCAGTATAAAATTAGGAACTGCCGGTGGTAGTATAATAGAAATGAGTTCTTGGTTTTTGTACAAATTTGATAAAGTTAGAACAATAGGCTGATGAATGAATTGTAGAATCAATTGATAAAAAAACACGAAAAAACTCCGAAGTTGCACAACGACATTTGCAAATTCCCAATGAGGCTTTACTTCTTCCTGAAATCATCAGATAACTTTTGAAATTGTATGTCGTTTTTATTTCCATGTTTCTAAATGTCTAAGGCGAACGTCGTTAACCTGCTATAAAAAATAAGGCGACCTTCCTGCAACAACAGTGGAACTTGTCTGGAGTTGCGTATAAGGCCTTCCTTCCGGCTTTCGTTTCCCTTGGATTTCAGTTAGATACACGTTGTCTTGACATCCGCATTGACGGCGCAAATTCATTTATGTGTTAATTTATTTTTCTTGCGCATGGAACATGAAGCATAAGGGAGGAGAGTGTTTATACAAATTGTTTCAGCGAAAGCTTTAAAAAATCCCACGGGTGGTAGAGAAAAAAAAATATAAACTCATTTCGGACCAAAAACAAAAAAATGCCAGCTGCAGCGGATGCCAGGAATTGCAAAAGACATACGAAGGAGCTAAATAATTGCCTGAAATGTACTAGTTACCTTTTTAGTTAGAGAATATAAACATCATAATTCACGATAAGTATCACCATAATTTTTTCCTGCGGGACAAAATAATTGCTCGGCCTGTCTACGTTTCCTCCCGTCTTGATCATCAACATAAGGTGGGCATTCCTAACTCTATCACAACCACGTTTTATTCATCTTTCGTCCCCCGTACATCCCAGGAGTGGAACCACCTTCCCCGGTCGATCGCCATTATCACGGACTCTGAATTCTTTAAAAGTACAATAACTAATTACTTTATTACTGAGTGTGTCTAAATATGTATTATGTTGTTTGCATTAACCTTCTTGTTGCTCTCCCCCTCTGTAATGCCTTCGGGCCCTGAAGGTATAATAAATTAAATGAAATGATATTGTTCCAATGAAATACATTCTAAGCATCCTAAAAAAAACACTATATCAAGCATTATTAAAATAGCGCGAACTTGACAAGGACAAAAAGTCTCAGATGCAACTGGACTGGTGCTGGCTTCCAATTAAGTTTATTGCATCATCCAACCAAGCAATATATACATCGCCTGCGAACATAAAAACACAAAAATGGTTATAAATTAAGATTACACGTATATCACGCGCCTATCTTCAGATAAAACCATCAAGAAAGGATAACTCTTTGTCAATGAGACACACAGACGACGTGCTGACGCACTTGCTCCCCCCCCCCCTTATTTTTTAATTAAAAAACGCCTCTAAATTTCCCTTACTTTCTTGCCCTTTGCTCTCTTCAGGAACTTGGTCAAATTCAAGAGCGGTTTACACCCAGATCATTTAAAGCGCTCAGCAAGATGACCACCCAAATTGCTTCGTACCGACAGATTATGTTCGCGCGCTCTCTCGTTGAAACACCGACTCGTTTCTCGAATATAAGTGCGGCCACAGCGAAGAGGAATTTCGTAAACAACCCCACTTGCGCAGTTAGTGTACATGACGGCATGTTTTTGTATTTTTGTTTTGCGCAATGATCACTTTTATGCCCAGTGAGCATAGGACATATGTTGCCAAGCTCGCAGGGAGCCGAGAAGAGATTAATACCATATCTATCAGCTATCTGTTCTTTTTTTTTTTTAATTATGCGATACCTTGTGCATATAGGGCACAACTTGCACTCTTTTTTTGTTGATTTGTTCTAGAGTACTATAGATATTTTGCGATCCTTTAAGTTTCTGTAATAGGCTCTCGCAAACGCGTGATAGTAGCATATTAGGCTACCCCGCAGATTTTACCTTCCTAAACTGCTAATAGAAGGCGGTTGACATTTTGTGCTCGTAACTTTTTTTGAGGGCCGCCTGTAAGCAATTCGAAGCTATTCGTCTTTTTATACACTTGGAGTGGGCACTTTCAAATGAGAAAATACTCTTTTTAGTTCGCGGGTTGTACATCCAGCACAAGTGTTGCCTAGAGAAATCAAGCTGCACATCTAAAAACTGAATGCAATTCTGATTTGCCATTTCGCAAGTGAACTTTAAACCTCCCGAGTGAACATTAAAAAAGTAAATAGTTTTTGAAGCAACATAAACTTCATTTATCCCGGTCAAATCTCCTAAAAAACTAAAAATCGTCAACGTATAGGTAAATCTTAAGCACATGTACAGTCGGCACGGAATGAAACGCGAACAGTGGGTGCATGGTTTTCGCTAGATGACGCACCCCCTGAACCAGATGGGAGCTGCAAGAAGATGGCTCCTCCTTTGATATGTTAAACTCTTGCTCAGTGCATCAAAACCTTCGGTGTTGCGTCTCTAGGTGACTCAGCGTGGGTCGAAAACCATGCTCTTCATGTTCGCGTTTCATTCCGTGCCGACTGTACATCTTCAAGATACCCAAAAATACGTTTATCCACTTCGCCCAGATAAATATCACACAACACTGCGGCGACAAAAGACCCAATAAATATACAATTTCTTTGTATGAAGAACTGGTCATTAAGGCCGACAGCTCTCGACTTAACATAGAATTCCAGGAGAGTTAGAAAGTTCTCACAGTTGATACCAGCCGAATTTCGGAACTTGATCCGTCCGGATTCCTAGATCTTGCCCCTTATATTATTGGAGAGTTCATTCTTTTGTGTTTGCATTTTCATGCTCGCAGTGGATGGTATATATTGCTTGCTTGGATGATGCCATAAACTTCGTTGGAAGTCAGCGCCAGTCCTGTTGCATCTGTGACTTTTTTTCCTTGTCAAGTTCGTGATATTTTAGTGGTGGCTAATACGAACCAACCAGCCCAATCAAAAGTTGTGTTACACTATATCAAATCATTTCAGACAAATAGAATGCAAAGACAGCATTTTACGGCGTTTAAAAGAAAAAAAGGAAAAAATCAATTTAGACACGTTTTTAGGTTTCCGTTTTTTATCGGAGCGCATCTTTGCTCTAGCGGTTCTGCTCCTCAGTTGCCGAAATGCGCGACATACGTGCGCCATACTTCCGTTCATCCAACAAAAGAGACGAGGTGGTAGCTTCACGCCTCGGCCACCGGGGAAAAGGACTGCCGACGCAAGGATGCGCTCCGATAGGATACCGAAACCTAGAAAAAAACCTACCAACTTAAGAGCTTTTTGTTTTTTTCTCGGAGTGACGTAAAATTATGTTTTTGCCTTACATGTTTTTAAAACGAGTTGACTTACAAAAATTCTTAGCAAGTTTCTCATCGGAACCATATGTTTATTTTCAGGAGATAAAATGTTTATTAGTAAATTATAGCTTGTAGTTATTTAGCTAATCAGTATTTTTTCTTTATCCCTGGTGTCCTCCGGAGGACACCAGAAAGGAAAGAGTTTCTTTTCCCCAGCCCTCATATTGCCGCCTACATGATTCGGAAGATGCGCTCCGCCGTTCATCTAGATTGGTTAGCGTACACTCATAACACGAGCGTAAACAAAAAGAAGGCCAGGATGACCTCTTTCCCGAACATTCTAGGCCAAATATTCGAGATGACGAGCAGAGTAAATATAGAGCCGAGCGCCGTATTGCCGATTCATTGGCCGATTCTCTTTCGCGACAGCCAGCTGTTACGCCGACGGACCGTCGCTTGCTGCTGCCGCCGTCGACATTCGCTGCTCTTTTCTCGACGTGCGTTCTTTTTCGTTTCCGGTACAGGTTCACCCCCCTTAACGCTTTGGTTAATTCTGTTTTTTCCTACCTCATCGTCTTTCATGGGTGGAAATATTTAGGCAAAATATATCTTGGCTTGGTAACGTATATTCACAGCATTCGGCGGTAGTTGATTCCACGAGGGCGCAACAGTATGTAGTGCCCCAGTGGACTTCCGGGAGTGTATTTATTTGATCTTCAGCAACGCACAGTGATCGGGCAAAAAGAGTTTCTTCGTAGAGGGAGCTGTAACATGTCCGTGAGAACTTGCGCGCATTTTTAGAAAGCTGTAGAAAAAATAGAAGAATGTGAAACAAATGGAAAAGAAGAGGAAAACCGCAAGCTCGCAGGGATCCGCCGATAGGGGGTTAGCGAGCTTGTGTGCAAACAAACATCGGTAAATACTAAGGCTATGTCAGATAGCCAATGTCATCCGTTCATTCATTTGTCCTATGATAGAAGACGTGCGCTTGCTAGAAGCTCTCTGGTTGGCGTCACATTGCCCCTCAAGAAAAAGGATTGTACTAGAGATGAGGTTCAGCGTTATCATCGGCCTATGAGACGCCGAAAGAGAGAGAGCAGCGTTTGGCCAGGAAGGACGAAGCAACGGAGCTCGTTCTGCTACGACCAATGGATGAGTGAGCCAACCAGCTCTGCCTCAAATTAACCAGTGGAATATGGCCATCACATTTCTCCGGCAAAGCACGGCAAACATGGCCCGTTTTTCTCCCCCCCCCCCCTCCCCCCCTTGGTGGCGAAGCAGCGGTGTAGCAAAACTGCTCACTGGTTTGAACAAAACCGGTGAGTAGATTCCCCCGGTTCGCCACGCCCCTGTGCAGTGGGAACGGGTCCGCATACGCTACGCTCCAACTGGAAAGTGGTTTGATCGAACCTTTGAGCAGTTTGACCAAACAGGTGTGTAGTTGACCAAACTGGAGTAGTTTGACCAAACCGGTATGCAATTTGATCAAAGCGTTGAGCACTTTGGTTATACCGCGAAGCGAAGGATCGAACCGGTTACGGGTTGACTGAACGGGTACCAGTCTGAACCTGTTCAAATTTAAAAGTTTCTTCTTTTCTTTTCAGCAGCGCGGTTTTAGGTTCAGTTTCGGTTCAGCTCTAAATAGAAAAAATATCGGTTCAAATCACTTTTAACCCATAAAGTTTGAATATATTTTTCTAATTATTGAAGCAGTTCTTTTATTTTTCGTACAACCCACTTATATCTTCAATTAACAAAAACAATAAATTACCTCATTTATTTAGACGTGGCAGTCTCAAAAAACATGGTTAAATATTCAAACGCTCTTTTTATGCAACCAACATTTCTGCCGTTTAACCCAATCGCATGTTTTATCCAAATAAGAAAAGAACAGTCATAAAATGAGTCCCTTAAAGTGGCCGTGATTTCTATAACCTGATATCAGTCTTACAACTTAGACCGTAATTTTGTTCTTAACATTGAGAATTTATACCATTAACAAAATCATGCTTCGATTTGAAAGCGCAAAACAAAGACAAGGGAATAGGATGAGCACCTCATTGGCATATGCGGGTGTTACTTTTTAATCGAAACAGATGTTTCGAAAAAGGCGCCATTACTGCTTGGTGAGTGCATGTTTCACCAATATCGTTCTTGAGCTCGGCGGACATTCAAGGGGCGGAATATCGTCACAGTCTGGTGAGTAATTATATAAAAAAATTAATTACTTTTTAATTAAACAAAAATACATATCTGGTTTCAATTAGAAACTAGCTGAGCGTCATTCAAGACCACTACATCAATAATTTTAGCAATGATTTGTGCGCGTGGTAAGCGCAGTAGTGCGCTAAAGGTACCACTCATACTATAGGTACAAGGCTGGGGTTATGATAAGAGACGAAAAAATGGCGTGGGCGCCTTATCGCATCGCCTTGCTTCTGCTGCACCAGTGGGAAGTATAGCGAACTACTGCGCTTCTCACACGCTTATAGAGTCTTTCAGAAAATGACCGATTTAGAGCTTCTAAATGACGCTCAGCAAGTTTCTAATTATAGCCATAAGTTTATTGTTAATCATTAAAAAGTTAAATTACGAATTTTAATAATTACTCACCCGACTGCGGCGGTTCGTCCCTCGACGGTCCTCGACTGTGTAATAAGACTCTGAAATGGACGAAGATAGACATTTACAGCTCTTTCAACTAGCAATCACACATTTCTATAATGCTCATCACACTACGAACATCACTTGGGTCGAAGGAAAATTGAAGGAAAAAGAAAATATTAGAAAAAGACACTAAAAGAAAATGGAGCTAAAAATAGCTAAATTAAATTAAAGACAATTCAGAAATTCAGAAGAACATAGGAAGAAATTAATTAAAAATACGCATATTATATTTCTGAAAACGAAGAGGAAAAAGAAAGGAGGCTTTTTCTAGTGTATAACTCTTGCCCGAAGAATTTCAGCTCTTTCGTCCATAACTACAGTGATGGTCGACAATGAAGATTGATAAAATGCATACTTGGTTGAGTTTGTGATTCATATCTTAAAGTAGCAGCGCAAGATGAATCATCCAAAACGACACACAGAAGGAAAAACACACGCGCTGACTTACAACTCTTTGTATTCTGCTAGTTCTTTGCTACTACTACTGCAACGACAATAAAGGCTCTGAAACATTGTTTGTCGCATTCTTGATCATCAATGCTTCGATCATTTCTCGCCCATACTTTGCTGCCTGCGAACCTAGCACTGTAGTGCTTCTAGAGCTAGGGGAGCAATCATCGCAGGTGCGTGCGTGCACAACAATTTGAGGGTAAGAGTCAGATGGCGCCTTGGTCACTTCTAAGAAGGGTTCCCTCAGGCGAAAGTTCAGGCGTCTTCCCGTTGAAACTCGGTGGAATAAAACATATTCGCTTTTCTCTGCATTTAACGTGTTTGTTAAACGCTCTAGCACTGTCAGAACTATTCTAAACAGAGGATAAAAGAAAGATGCGCCAAACGTACGCGGGTCTGATGCGTTGAAGGGCATTCCGATAGACGGTGTCTTGTCGTCGTAAGTGGTTGCAAGGCAGTAGATTTCGGGATCCGTTTAAGAGGCTGAGCCATCCCTTGCGCCGCAACAAGTGCCGGGGCCTGCCGCCCTCCTCGTGCAGACTACCTGACCGTGGCGCTCCAGTCGCGAGCTGCCCTGCAAGCCAGGTCCGTCTGGGGAATCATCAGGGGACTGGAGACCTTCAGCCAGCTTGTCTATCCGTTCAACAATACACACGTAAGCCTCGGATTCCCTAGTTTGCTTTTATGAGCGCTTCTCGTTTTAGTGCACCTTGGTAGGAGTTTGAATGTCTGCAGGGATGTTCGTGCCGCCGAGCGAGCTTAGAAAAATATTTGTGGTAACGACTACAATAGTTTTTGCCTCTTTGCCGGGAACCTCTGTCAACGACTCGTGTAGTTTTTGTTTAAAAACTGACTAATGTAGGCGATTCAATCTCTCGATGTGTGTTGGTAATGCGCAAATTCGTTCGTTGATTTTAACATATTATTGTTCGGCAAAGCGTTCGTGATCGTATATGCTACCACTTTGTGTCTTAAAATTTTCCTGAATCAGAAGATTTCTGAAATTATTGAACAATGAATCGCTATTTTAGTAAACTACAATAGGTTTGCCCAATATATAGTGTTTAATAAATGTTTCTGCTAGCGAATACAATATATTTGTGTTATTGCCAGAACTGCAATATTTTGTAAAACGGGAAGGGAAAACAACAAATAGAAGAAAAAAGAGGTAATCACGGTCTCTAAGTGCACAACATATCTTTGTAGACTCGACCCCTGGACACGTCTGTTTTTTTCGTCTCTGTTCTGATTTTAAGTTACTATTAGATTCACTTGCACTGATTAAATTACAGTAAAGCATGAAATGTTTATAAAACGAAACCCCCGAATCTCAACATTTTGTGCCACCATCTGTTCATCCGTGCATTTGCCGCTAAATTTAGGGGGCACTTTGAATTGGTGTTTAGGTCAGGTGACGCCAATTGATTTCGAGTGAACTGATGACATGAGATCTGTACAACAATTTAGTTTCCTGTCAAAGTCGGCGGGGAAATTAATGCCACGTGGCCTGACGTCACGATAGCTATATATGCATCAATTTAGTTTCCCTGCTCAATGTATCACGGCATTTGATACGAATAAATGTTCGTCACTCCCAGAAACGACGGTTTAATGCCTTCTAAATAATTTTATACGATCGCACCTCAAGCAGTGTGCTTCATTCATTTAATGACTCGATATAAAGGTTGCTTTCAATAACAGTAATCTGTCTTGCGTACTCTAGCGCCACCCTCGTCATTCCTCTTTTTTGCCTCTTCCTAGAGCAGGGCTTGACTTGTGTTTGCCCTTCGTCTACGTTTCGCGTGTGCTGTCACGATTTTACTATCAACTAGCCCGCGTCGCTCGCCCATTGCTATTGAATTTCATGACGTTTCTGCCCAGTTTGCCGTAAACCGGACCGAAATCAACGACGCACCGAGGTTCTCTCATCGGGGCCTTCTCATCGACACGTCCAGGCACTTTCTACCGCTGCATTCCATCATCGACACCTTGGTGAGGGAGGCCAAGGCACCGCAAGATGGCGGGCCTAGATTCTACGCCAGCTCCCGATCTGCAGCGCGGGGCAGAAATTTGAAATAAACTAACTGTTGGGCGAGTTGGTCATTCGTTACAAAATTATAGCGAGAAATAAGAGGACAGGAAGGAACAGTGGGACAGTACAGAGCAGACATATACACGAGTGCTGTGTCACCGCCTGAATCAAACTCGTGTTCAATCGTTTGACCAGATATCGCCCGACGCAGTACTAAAATCAAATGCTCGTTTATTGATCGTTTCATTTAAAATATCCCCGGAGCCAAATGCCTTGCAGAGGAAAGCTAAGATCAATGCACAAGAAAAAAAAGAAGCGTTGAGACTGCAAACTATTTTGCTTTAATAAAATGTTAATATGCTGACATTGCTGAGCGATGTCATCAGACGCTATTATGGAAAGACAGCGCAGAATTGGAATTTTGGTTTCATAAAGGCGTATTTTACGGTCTAGGGCTACTGTGAAAGCGTGTAGGTTTACCTGTTTGAAGGCTCATTTCGTGTCGGTGATCGAGACGCGATAGTTTGTAGAAAAGAGGTATTACTATATAGATTGTCCCGCCAAGCAGGAGTATGGTATATATGTTTTTTTAAGTAAACGCAAGCGATACAGGTATCGACGTGGCGGAAAATTGGGCAGGTTCTAGCCAATTTGTTGCGCTGCCAAACCGATGATAGTTAGTGAATGTAAAGCGAAATATATTTTATGGGGCTTGACCTGGAGACGTTATTACGTCGATACGGCGGACTCATATTGAAGACGCACACTGCAGCTTAGAAAGAACGAACGTTCACTGGGAACCTTATTTCCTGGCTTAGTGAATATCCACGAAAACGCGGTAGGCCTAGTGACGCGTCTAGACTACAACAGCCTTAGGGCTTCATTTATTTAAGGTACCCCCTAGGGTTTCCTCTATCATTACGATGAATAGTTTTGGCCATTTCAATTCTACAGAGAGGAAAGGAGCCAGATACCCGAGACGAATTATCCACGCCGAGGTGCTCGCAATATGACCAAGGCTTATTGCGGAGAGGGGGCCGTGTAATCTATATTTCGGTGCCAAAAGAAGTGGCCAAAATTAATTCTCTGCTAAAAAGTGCCAGACGCCCCTGGTCGGATTTGCCTGTAGGATGTCGAAATTCAACTTTGACCCAAAACGCATATTTTGATCGGCCCTTATCAAAATAGTGTTTCAATAAAACATCTTACCATACGGGTTATTTTCTACTTCCGTTATATTTCTTGAAGTGTTTTATGCATATAAAACAATACTAGTCTGAATTTAACGTCTGTTTTGGTGGGAGTGTAGTGCTCCACATTTTTAGAGCGCACCTCTTGGGCCCCTGCTTTCGGGTTTCCTGGCGTCGCCGTTGGTGTAACCGCGCTAAATTTAGGGGAAAAATAGTCGTCGCGTGACCTCAACACCGATTCAGTTTCCCCGCTAAATTGAGCGGGGAAAATGGCGTAAAATTACTTGGTGTCACGAAACCTATGAACAAATTCAGTTTTTCCGCTAAATTTAGCGATAAAATGAACGCCCGTGACCTCAACAGCAGTTCGATTCCCCGATAAATTTTGCGGGTAATTGAATTGCTGTTGAGGTCACGTGGCGTAAATTTTTCAGCTAAATGTAGCGGGGAAACTGTGGGAGGATTGGAGGGTATGGAGGAGGGGGAGGGGCATACCCTCCTCTCGGTATCTTTCGCTCCTCCTACTCAAGAGCTGCACTCTAATTTCGCGTTGTGGGAATTTGTAAACGTCTTTCATTTTTTTTTTATTTGTGCTGTACTCTGAGCTCACGCATCATTAATAACTAGGTGTATTCGATACTGTCATCTAGCGCTCAAATGTGTTTATTAAAGTTCGAACATACAAAATTCTAGGACTCCCTCAGCACACTTCAAAAGTATTTTACAATTTAAAAGAAAAAAATTCCCCATGTTTTTATAAGACCACGCATTTCTAGAGCACAAGAAAAGACGAAGCACAGTAAAGGGGAAATTAGCAAATAATGCCCGCATTTTTAGGCAGTTTTTGATGCAATACAGTAGTTGCTTAAAGTATTCCCGTAATTTGCTTGTGGCAATCAGGCAAACATCATGGGGTTTTCATTACATTCCTGAAAAAAATATAATTATAGCATTGGAAAAAGAGGATTAAGGTAGCAGGCTCTGTCCCCCAGTAGGAGTAGTCTTGGTCATTCATTCGTTGGACAAGGAGGAATGATTATAAGATATTACCTCACAGCTAATTTTGAGGGCACTGGTTATTAATCGCATTACAGAGCAAACGTCCCGGTCCACAAGTGAAGTTGGCGTGTGCTCAAGCCAAAAGTATAAAAAGAAAGCTTCACGCGTTAACTCCTCTCAGATAAACCCTCCCGCAAGGGGAAACGAGTGTGCAAGGATTTCATTTCACATACTTCTGTGCATGTTGCAGGACGCGATGGCTTACAACAAAATGAACGTGCTTCATTGGCATATTGTGGACGATCAGTCCTTCCCCTTCGTCAGCAGGACGTTCCCCGGACTCAGCGACTTCGTAAGTGCTCTCTATTTCGCCCTTTCGACTTCATTTCTGACCCTTCTGAGAACTGCGGCATTGTTAAAAACTGGCGTTGTCAGTAATATTTCAATACTATAACGGTAAACACAGGAGTATACTACTGGCAACACGACTTGGACTACTGCCACTTCTCAGTGTTTAATATGAAGGTTGCTATAAGTTTTCTTCATCAGTAGAAAATCTTGTGCTTGCCTCGCAGCATGAGGTATAGTTATTTGTATGTTATTACTAGTATGTTTTTCTTTTCTCTGCGGGTGTCTGCATTGTGCTTCTTGCTTATCGCATTATTTCTGCTGGTTCCTTAAACAAAAAACATAGTGGTTGTTTTTGGTCAAAATATTAAATATGAAACCTTTCTATAGAAATGGTGCCAGCATCATGACTTACAAAAATATCTTCAAGTGACCGCCGCTCGAACTTCCGCCTGAACGGATTTGGCAGCGTCTTATAGACATATGGTACTCTGTAAGAGTAAAAAAAAAAAAGAAAAAGAAAAGAGGAAGAGTAAGTTAGTCCTGCCCAAGCAGGTTTGTATAGCCACTTGTGTATATTATCATATGCTTCGTAGCTCATAGGCTCTTCTGCTTACACTAAACCTCGTAGCTTCCAAACAACTCTCAAGCAAAATAATATACTCTGATCGCGTATCAATCCGGCAGAGGTGTCTATTTGGCTAACGGATAAATTTTTCTAGAATTTTCAATGCAGCCAGAAGGCTCCAAATTTGCTGAATGGCCAATTTGGCTGAATCCCCAGTTCGGCCTCAACGCTCCAATTTGGCTAAACCTTGGCTTAGGCTGGGTGCTTCAGTTTGGTTCAAGTATCTCAATTCGACTACAAAGCTTGAGTAATAGCCTATAAGCATGATTGAATAAGGTGTCCCCACTATATTTGGGTGATCGAAGTCACTGAACTATATCTGCATTATACTTCCGTAAATCCATGGCCAATATAAACGTCCTGCAGATGAAATGGTCTCGTGGCACGTAGTCGCAGCAATTCCAGTCTCTAATTACTTTTTTTGTTGTTGTTTGCCACATCAAGCTGCTGTGCAAATATATATTTATGCTTCAAACAAAATATTGTATTAACTTGCTCACAAACTAAATAATAGCTGCTCAAAGACGACCACTTATTTCAGTGGTGACCACCATCAACTTAAAAATGGCAGGACGTCGTGGCTGCTTCTCTGTCAAATAAAATATGCATATGCATCAGTCAGGCAACAGAGCAACATTGTATAAATTCCTCAAATTATTTAGGGTTGAAAAGGGTTAATAGGGATGTCGTTTTCTTTATTTCCTTCATCAATGTGTGTGTATTTGGTCGCACTATTTGGTGAACAGTGGAATCTACAGCCGGTTTTCATATGAACAAGTTTTAGTAGGCTAAAGCTTCATGTTAAATCTTATCTCGCTTGTCTTTTAACTAAAGTGCAGTATACAAAAAGAAACTTCGCTGTTAATTTTTTTTTGTCGGCTCAGATGAACTTGGAACACAAGGGTCAATGTCGTTAAAAAACACCAGTTTGCAAAGAGCGCGCGCTTCGGTTTCTGGGGTGGTTCCTAAAGTCTGTAGGAACAACCTTAATCTCAACACAAGTTTTGTGTCCACTGAAACTTGTTCATATTAAAAAGTGTGTTAATTCTAATGTTCAGCACACGTGCTGAACGAAATATCTGTGCACATAACGCACATATATATCTACATTATTGACTGCCAAGCAGCACACCCATAAACTGTGAAGGCCCAACAGCATGATCGTGTCTAGGGATACACCGTCGTACTTTTCAACAGGTAAAAACCGAATTCCTTGGGGTGCAAGTGGGAGGTCCTTGCTGAGAGTTCTTTGCAGCACGTCCCAAAAGAATACTGCATCTCAGCAGTCTAAAAAACGTGTTCGAGAACTTCCTTTTTTTTACAAGGTATAGAGGTGTCTATACAAGCAAGGGGTGCTCCCTTTTCAGCGAGTCAAGCTTTGATGGGCGATGTTCGGCTATGCAAGATTTAAAAAAAAAAGTTTTTGCGTTTGGGGGATGACCATTAATCTCTTCACTCGTTTCAACACGTCTTGCCCTGAGCCCTCACTCTACAATGTACAGTACAATGGTATGGGAAAAGGCATATTTATCCCATCTTTCGTCAGCCATTTACGTGAAGCTTTGGACAAGTAGTCTAAAGAAAACCGCGTTGTTAAAAATTGATAGGCGCCAATGACTTCTTTTAGATACCCGCGTACGCAACCATTCAAAGTTACGTTGGGCGAAACAATAAACTCAGAAAGCCGTGTTGCCTTGTCTGAATGACCGTGCTTGAAAATGGGTCTTTCTGGTCCCGAATAAAAATAAATCTGCTGAATAAAATAAATCTGCTTACGAACAGACGCGAAAAGCCCAGACCACCAACACTGACTCGTCGAAAAAGACTGGATTGGCTCGCCTTCCCCCATACTAAATAAAAACCGCGAACACAGGATGGATGCGTTGAATGTTGATACGTGAGCAATGTAACACCAGTAACACGTACTAAGTTTTTGCTGCAAGAAACGTGTTACACACAGATGAGCGAGTAAAATGGATAACCCATTACCTCCCCACTTGTTCGCCTTTGCGCGCAAAGCCTCAGTTTCATTACGCCAATACTCATCAGTATCGCGGCAGTGATCTAAAAATACACCAAGATAACGAGATAACGCATTCAAACAGATTCCGCCGGAAGGCCAATCGCCTTGCCAAATGCCTAAACACCCTTCAAAGTTAACGGCGCTACACGTATGTTGGCAAAACCGCTCTGAAAACTCTACGGCTTTCTTTAGGCTTTCTTGGTCGACGCGAAAAATCGCGACATCATCCGCGTATGCCAAAATCCGCGCTTCAGTAGATTGTGAATTAAAACCTCTAACGTAACTACTACGAAGAATGTATTAAAAGAAAAGGTTCAAGAAAAATACAAAAACGCTGAAGCGAAAGTGATCATCCTTGTCTCATATTTTCGAGGGTGAACATCCTTGTCTCACAGAAGAAAAAAAAAACGCTCACTCACATATCTGGTCACAGCAAAACGAATGGCGCAATTTTGGTGTGCCTTACGTATTTCCTCACACAGAACTCAACCAACGATTACGCGGTCTAAAATAGAAAACAATAACATTGTGTGACACACGGTCGAAGGCGTTTTCCAAGTAGACCTGTACTATAGCGACTCTCCGTTCTATACTACCACAACATTTCAGAATGCTCCTTGCCACATGGATATTTGTAACGAGACCTCGTCATCTGACATTACAAGTCTGGTGCGGGCAGACAATAACCCTCATAACATTTTGCATTCGCTCTGCTAATACTTTTATCGCAATTTTATAATCCACATTTTAACAAAGTAATTGGGCGATACGCTCCTTACATTACGGAGTATCACGGAATCATCATCTTTCGGCACAAAAATCGTCTGAGTGCACAAAAATGAAGGAGGCAAAACTTTTACACGACACGCTCCGGAAGTTACTTGGTGCAAAAAGAGGGCAAGCTTGCCCTTTAACGTATTAAAGAAACCAGCGCCCGAACTATCAGTTTTAAATGGTCGATGGCGCGTGTGTGCCAACGATATGGGCTCTTCTAGCTTTTCCTTTATGCCGTCATCCAGTCTTGGCATAAACGGTAAATAAACGCTTCGAAAGCTTTTCTTTTTGAGCGCGCGGTAACTAAAAAGTTGTTTATAGAACTCCTGATACGCGCGTTCGGTGAAATCCTTATGTAAAGGACGAGCGTGTTATTAAGGTACTAAATATGAGGAAGGGACAAAGGGACGGACAACAACGTCGTTGTTCTCTGCCCCTTTGTCCCTTTGTCCATATTTGGAAATCATTATCTCCAAACAGAACCCCTTGATACGAAATCTCGCCTATCTCATTTACACTCGCATATAATCGTTCCGCCCCGATAGCCCTATGAGTGGAAAACTCCCCGAGTTACAACCGCTTCCATCGCGCTCGCACCATGGCCCCCTTATATTTTTCGGTGTCCAGAAATTCTAAGCGCAATTTAATACTGATAATATCGTGCGCAAAAATACAAAGCGAGTGGCGTTCTTCTTGGATTAACGTCTGAAGCAGGACATTTAGTTCATTTGTACTCTTTTTTCCTTCATGCTTCAATACACACTAAACATCTAGACACCCTTGAGGGTGTAAATGGCTTGTTCTATAACTAGCACCTTTGTTGGTGTAGCGAAACGCCCCAAAGAAAAGGGCATTATTCCTAACACCCCTAAGCGACGGCGTTATTCCGAACACCCTTAAATTAAGGTGTGGTTCCACTGTACACCTTTATATTAGGGTTTTATGACTGCCAGGGGCGTAGACTTTCTTTTTTCCCGGGGGGGGGGGGGGGTCATTTTCCGCGCAAGCGGAAAAGCACCCCCCCCCTCCCCCTTCCGAAAGCACGCTGGGATTGCATTTTTCATGTATTTTGTCAATAAAGGCAACGTGGGAAATATTTTGTTTACATGTCACTACTAGAAACTCGTTACATGGTCTTGGAGAACATAATAGCTCTTCACGACAGGGACGAAGAGTAGGAAACGCTATTATGGTTCTCCAAGTTTCAGTACCTACTCGCCCAGGAATCAGCATTAATTGTTACATGGCACGTAAACAGCGTCTCGGTAAGGATCATGGCCCGGCCCGGGGGGGGGGGGGGGTTTACTAGGGGGGCCGAGCCCCGATGCGTCCCCGTAGTCAATGCCTATGGCTGCGCAGCATGCCCTCTAAATTGGGTGTACCGCCGCCAGAAAGGGAAGCAAAAGAGTGCATGAAAAAATTACTGCAAATCAGTCAAAACATGCCTAGTTCACTTTTTATTTTTCGATTAAGGATCTACCGGGTTCTACTAAATTTTCTATAGACGATTACAAGCATGTTATCTGGCCGCAACCATGTCTCTGCTTATGCGGGAAAGTGCATGCAATTGAAAGGTTGC